TTTGGCTCTTTGGTAGAGTAGAGGGACGACAACGAACATGTTCTTAGTAGAGGGACAAGAACGAATAAAATATTAAAGTAGAGGGACGACAATTGGCTTTAAACCATTTTTATCCAAAGTTAGGACGAACAATGAAGGAAGAAAAGTAAGATTAGCTGTCAATTTTTTTTTATTTTTTATTTTATTAAAAGTAAGAAACTTGTATTTACCCATTCACGGTTTTGAGTTAAGACGTGGCAACATGAGGGGGCTCGAGTGTCGAAAGTCAGTGAGAAAGCGAGTGCCCTTAGCATTGCTCTCTCCATTTTATGTGAAGATTTTTCTCTTCTTCTTTTTGTGCCGCATTCAAGCAGGAGAAAAGTTATTCTTTTTAGCGTTGATTCAAAGCCGCAAAGAACAATTGCTACAAAAGCCGGTTAACGGGAGTATGAGTTTCTAACTTTCTATTACCAAATTAAAGTGTTTAATTGTCAATTAGGATCAATAAGATATCCGGCCCGTATTCCTTTCTTGAATTCCATTTTTTTTTTCTGTTTTTCTATGTACAGGTAATGGCAGATGAAATAAGGACCAGGGTTTGCACTCGCATAGAGGAGAAGCTGCAAGCACTTTCTTCAACATTTTCGGAGCATACCATTTTTAGAGTGCCTCGCCTACTATATGAGGTGAATGAAAAAGCCTATGAACCAGAAATCATCTCAATTGGTCCTTATCATCGTGGCAAAAATCACTTGAAGATGATGGAAGTGCACAAGGTTCGGTTCTTAGGAATGCTTCTTGGCCGAACAAATGGGCATACTGCCGAACTATATGTAGCAGCACTGAGAGGTATGGTTGAAATAGCCCGTAACTGTTATTCAGAACCTTCAAGTATTAGCACAGAAGACTTCCTAGAAATGTTGGTGCTTGATGGATGCTTTATTGTTGAGTTTAGTCACCAATTACTTGATGGTAACATGGATGAGTATGTCTTTAGATTGGAGTCAACTTTCTCCAGGATTTTGCATGATTTGATTCTATTTGAAAACCAACTTCCTTTCTTTGTGCTTTGGGAGTTGTTTGGTATAATGTGGGGAAATGAGAGAAACTTTTATGTTACGGACCTTCTGGAACTATTCAGTGACAGGATGCCGGGACTAAGAGTTGATGTTGTCTATGACAATACTTCAATTCAAAATGTCAAGCATTTACTAGACTTGGTACATGGGAATTGGCTTCCTTCAAGAGAAGTAATGGAGGATTACTCGCGAGCACCAAAAGATGGCAATTGCTCATTTATACGTTCTGCTACAGAGCTTAAAGAGGCTGGAATTCGGTTCAAGAAGGGTGAAAGAAATACCTTGTTTGACATAATGTTTAGAAATGGGGTACTCGAGATTCCTATGATAAAAATTACAGATACCACAGAGAGATTGTATCGCAATATCATTGTCTGTGAACAATTTGAGAAAGAAAATCCAAAATACTTAACTGAATTTACCACGTTTATGGATTGTCTGATTAATTCAGGGAAAGATGTGGAGTTACTTCGTGACTGTGGAATAATTGAAAATTGGTTAGGCAATGATGAGGCTGTTGCGACCTTGTTTAATAGGCTCGGAGATAATGTCAGCCTCTCCATCGAATTCTATGCCCGGATATGTAATGATGTCAATGAGTATTACGATGCACCTTGGAACAAAAGGATGGCAAACTTAAGGCACAACTATTTCAACAGTCCATGGGCGCTCATCTCCTTTCTTGCTGCAGCTTTCTTGCTTCTACTTACCCTGCTTCAAACTACATTTACCATTTTTCCTAGATAGTAATCTTTGATGTGGAGCTAGTGATGACAAAATTTGTCATTTGTTTAAAAGTTAAGATAAACTTCTATGCAACTTTTATATGTATTACTTATATAAAAACTTGATCATTTCAACTCTTATTTATAAATAGTTGAGATTTTGTATAAATAATGTAGGTAAAAATTATGTGTAAATTAATTCTTACTCTTTATTTAATTTATATTGTATTTTATCTAAAATGTCTAGCAAAATTGTCAAAATTGAGAATTTATGTACAATTGTTTTGGTTAGGTTAAAATTGAACTCATAAAATTGAATATGTAAAATCAAGAATTTGCTAAATTAATTAAAATTTCATATATTATTAAAATTTAACCTCATACATTCAAATTTGAAATTTATCCAAGAATGTTAACTACTAATTAATTATTTCAAATTTTTATTAAACATTTTTTCATTTCATAATCATTTTTCCATTTTTGTTAA